GGTGGATGAACCTTTCTCTTGGATGACATTCCTTATGCTCTAGATATTCGAACGAATTTAGTGTTTGTAATTGCATTGCTTAAAATGGATTTTTTTTTTTAAATTTTCATGGTTCGTGTGTTGACATTATTATAACAATTGTGAAATTGGATTTGGATTTTTGTCAAATGGTTCTATTGTTCTTGATGTAGAACCTAGTTTCAATAATAGTAGTTGTGTTGCACTTATTACCTCTTCTAATAATACTGCTGTAGATGATAAAATTTGAAATGCTAGACTAGGACATACTAGGCAAGACAGAATGAATAAATTAGTTAAAAAAATTCTTTTAAGACCTGTTGCCAAAATAAACTTACTTGTGCATGAGCATTGTCTTGCAGAAAAAATAACTTGTAAACCATTTGGTAAAGTTATTAGAGTTGAAATTCTAGTGCAATTAATTTATTCAAATATATGTGGTAAACTGAATGTGAGGGTGAGGCATGAGGCCTTTTATTTCATTGTATTTGTTGATAATTTTTCATGTTATGGTCATGTCTATCTTATCTTTCATAAATCTGAAGCACTGGAGTGTTTCAAATAATATCTGAATGAAATTGAAAATCAACTTGAGAGAGAAGTTAAGACTTTGAGAACTGACTTGGAAGAGAATATTTGTCTTACCAGTTTAAGACAATACGTAGTAAAAGGGAATATTACAACAGTTAACTATTCCCAGAACCCCATAATAAAATGAAGTTGTTAAGAGAAGAAATTATACACTTCTCCAAATGGTTAGGTCGATTATGGCACAAGCTAAAATGTCGATCTCCTATTGGAGTGATGCTTTATTAATAGTTGCTGATATTCTTAATTAAGTACTCTCCAAATTTATTCTATCAACTCCTTATGAATTGTGGACTAGTAGAAAACTTAACCTAAGCAACCTAAGACCCTAGGGGTCTGTTGATTATGTCCAAGACACTTCTCTCAAGTATGGAAAGTTTAGTCCAGTAGAAAAGAAATGTGTTTTTATTAAATGCTGAATGTTCAAAGGGATATGTTTTTATTGGTAAATATCCAGATAAAAGTATATCTGAAATTAAATCACAAGATGCAATATTTCTTAAAAATGAGTTTCTTAATCATGAAGAGCTTGATCAAAATTTTCTTTTTGTGAGATAAATGAAGTAGATCAGTTAAATGAGGAATTTGTGAAAAAAACTCAAATCTTTCCAACCAATAAAAGTAATTATTGCCAAATGAATCTTCTCTACAAGAGCCTGAATTAAGAACAAGTTTGAAACTTATTTCTCTTCGTAGATTCGACATTGAAGAGGAGGCCTTCATAGTCACTCCAATAGAGGAAGAAGAACCATGTATTATGGAAAATGCATTAAATTGTGTGGCTAGGGAATAGTGGGAGGATGCAATGAAAGAAGAGATAAAATCTATAAAGAACAATGAAGTTTGTGATTTAGTAACTAGAAGGTCGAAGAGCCATTGGAAACAAATGGGTTTTTAAAATCAAGCGTAAAATTGATAGTTTGATAGATAGATATAAAGTCAGACTTGTTGATAAAAGATACACCCAAGAAGAATGAATAGATTATCAAAAAAAAAATTCTCTCTAGTAATTCAGTTTACATCCATATGATTAATTTTAGTCTTAGTGGCACAGTTAGATTTAGAATTGCATCAAATAGATGTAAAAACAACTTTCTTGAATGGTGATCTTGGTGAGGAAATCTACATACCACTACTTATAAGTTTCAATATTAAAGGTCAAGCTTAAACAAGCATCAAGACAGTGAAATATAAAATTCCTTAATGCAATCATAACATATGATTTCAAAATAATTAGTGAAGACCATTGCATCTACATTAAAAGAGTTAAAGAAAAATTTATTATAATGTTATTATATTTGGATGACATTCTAATAATTGAAAATGATAAAAAAAACTTTATTATTAAAGCTAAAGAATAATTGTCTTTTCAATTTGAAATGAAAATATATAGGAGAAGCATCTTACATTATGAGGGTCAAGATAATAAAAAAATTGTTCAAAAAGGCTAACGACTTTATGACAAAAATCTTATATTGAAAAGATTTTAAAATTATTTGAAATGAAATATTGTAAATCATTTGATACTCCAATTACTAAGGGAAAATGTTGAGTAATAGCATGTGTCTTTAGACTATTTAAGAGAAAGAAAAAATAGCTAAAAAACCTTATGCCAGTGCCTTAAATAGTTTAATGTATACTATAGTATGTACTAGACTAGACATCTATTATGCTGTAGGCTTGTTGAGTCATTTTCTATCTAATGTCAAAAATTGTCAATGGAAAGCAGTCAAAAGGATATTAAGGTACCTTAAAGGCATAGTAGATTATTGTTTATGCTATCAAGGATCAGAAGCGAAATTAATAGGGTACTCTAATGCTGATTGGGTTAGAGATTTGAACGAAATGAAATCTTTTTCTGGTCATGTGTTTTTACTAAATGGTGAAGCCATTAGTTGGTATAGTAAAAAATAAAATTGTGTCATCCTTTCCACAATAGAAGTTGAGTTTGTAGCTTATTCATCAGTAATACAAAAAGCTGTTTGGCTAAAAAGATTCTTAAAGTATCTAAGTAATGTTAATGATAGTGGAAGTCCTGTATTAATTTACAGTGATAATTAAGTTGCGTTAACTTGTTTAAGTGATCTAAAATATCACATTAAATCTAAATATATTGATATTTGTTATCAGTATGTGAGAGATATAATTGCTAAAAAAGAAGTAAAATTATAATATGTCTCCGCTAATCAAATGCTAGTTAATCATTTCAATAAGTCATTAGCCTGTGAAGTATATGTGAGTCATATTAGATCTATAGGCTTACAAGGCATATAATGTACTTGTGAACAAATTGTACAAATTTATATTTATGAATGAGATTTCATTTAGATATGGCCATAATTTCTTAAAGCACAAACATATATTTGATTAATGGAGTTCATGAATAGATAAAAATGTATGTCAACAAATTTTGAGATTGGTCCTCTTAGATGAACAATTGACTCTAATACTAAGTGTATGAGGAGATTAGATAAATTTGAGAAATATATAGTAATTCTATTCATTAACTCAAAACAAAATCATTGCCTTGAGAAATGAGAGAAAGTTAAGATGAGATTATTTTAGTTATAATGATCGAAGTAAATGTTTATACGATACATTTACTTAACCTGTTAGAGAAGCTAGATATAAGATTATGATAAGGTTAGAATATAAGAATGAACTCAGATTGAATACTAAGATGTGTTTGAACTCAAATTTGTACAATGTTGAAATTTATAAATAATATTGACATGCGCTCTCTTAAAGAGAAAATAACATCATAACATGTGATTTATATTGCATGTGCAAAAACAACAAAAAGGGTTAGTAAGAGAATCAATCCTTACTTCTCTACTATGCAAGACCCTTGAGATTATTAAATCTTATTTTGTACCCTTATGGACTTTTGGCGATAATCTGATATTTTAATTTAGTGTTACTACTTTAGCACATTATCTATAATTCTAAATCATTCGGTTTAAAGGTATATGTCTAGGAAAGCAGCTAATTAGGGTTAAAGATTATTTGTCAAAAAGGAAGATAATTCTTATTAATATCGTATATGTATTCACTAACCGACCAATTATGTAGTCTATTCAGTATGGATAGCATAATGGTGATTACATTGTATTGAGAGTTGATTAAGCATGCTCTTCCATTAAGGGATCAGAGATGCTTAAATTGATGCAATTAAAAAATAGTCTAGGACATAGTATGATACTACACACACACACACACACACACACACACATATATATTTTGTAACGAGTAGTTATGTACTCCTAATTGATACATAACAGAATAATTGAGTATATTTGCCAGTTGCACAAGTTATTTGCTTTAGGATGAAAATTATGATGCATTAAGATTATTATGATAAGGGTCTTTGTTGACCACATCACGTGCGAGTGAAAAATGTTAGAAAAATGGGTCAGATCATGTCCACCTATAACGAATCAACCTAACCCACATTGAATTTTGAATTCAAAGAGAAGGTTTTAACGTTGCATAATCGCCTTAATATTTGCTTATATATACCATATTGGTATAATGTAAAAGGGGTTAGATGAAGAAGAAAAATATCTCTCTCTCTCTCTCTCTAGTCTCTAAAGAATACATCAAAGGCATTATAACTTATGATCCAAAAGATTTAGTCCATTGTAATCTTATATCACCGAAACAAGTGATTTTAGAAGAAAAATGATCTTGAAATCTGTTGTGAATCATCTGAAGTAAGTTAATTTCAGATTCTATTTTAGTTTTCATTATCAACAGGTTCTAATTTAAATTGGAAAATATGTAATAATGAGTAAAAAATATTATTTGATTAGTTTATGAGGAAAGCAAACAAGGAATAGGATGTATCTATGGAGATTGATATATTAGTCAATATAAATAAGAAGCAAAAAAAAGGTTTAGGTCCAACTGACCAAAGAGGAAAGTGTCCAAGCTTCCATTTTCCATGTGTTCATAAACCAGTAGCCTCTCTTCCCCATGAATGCAGCAACCGTAGAGCCTAACAAGATTCCTGTGCTGGAGCTTGGAGATTAGTATGATTTCATTCTTGAACTCCTCTGTTCCTTGTCTGGATTGGCTAGAAAGCCTTTTCACCGCTACTTCTTTCCCATCTTCCAGCTTTCCCTACAGTCCAAAATTTATTTATTTATTCATTTTTTTAATAATTGATATACACAAGTCTCACCGGTGCATATATGTGTTAGCATCATATCGTCTAAGAGAATGATTTGATTACCTTATAAACTGGACCAAATCCACCTTCCCCTAGTTTATTTGTTATGCTGAAATTATTTGTAGCAACTAATATTTCTTCAAAGTCAAATACTAGTAGCTCCGTTGACTCTCCTTGTGTTACACACCCCAACTCTAGATTTTCTTGTGAGTTGTCCACTAGATCAACCAAAGCAGTGTTCTTTCGTCGATCTCTTCTCTTTCCTGATGTTTATCATTTGCACATCGAAGAGAAATAATTTATTAGATTTCTTGTATATGGTTGCAAGACCACAAGACTAGGGATATTAACATAATTGATTTTGAGGCAACAATATGTAGTGAGAAAATGATGAGAATTATACTCTGAAGGAAGAGAAGTAGGCGTAACTGATGTAGTTGGGAATAAGAAATCAAATGCTATCCAACAAATTTGAAAACATCTCAAATTCTAGGAAAAGGAAAGAGCCAACAAGAAGGAAAAAAAGGGAACAAGAACATAAGAGAAGAAGGTGAAAAACACTATTTGTTAAAAAAATGAAATAGTAAAATGAATCCAAAAGATCAGTGATAGGGAATTGCCTTTGCCTATGAATCTATGCATGCCTTATTCAGTAACAAAAATATTGAGTTACCTCTTTGGTTTCTTGTCTTCCTAAGCCAACAAAACAAGATAAAACCCAACAGAATCACCCCAGAAATTCCTAGAAAGCTGATGATAAGTTCATGCTTTGTCTTGTCATCACCTGGAGAATTGAAAAGAAGAGCAAGAAAACGTGAAGCAACTAAAGCGTTGCTTAACCTCAAAAGACAACAAATCACAGCCAACGTACCTAGCTCTGAATAGGCAAGCCGGAGGAAGAAGACTTCCCCATTAATGGAAAACTGCTGAACATCCATAAGGTCTCCCGCCCAAACCATACACCCAATTCCATCTGCAAATGCATATGCCACACAAGAACAGTTATTCATACACCATTGTCGGCAACCTGAACGATCATCCTCCATGTATAAATATTCAAAATGATCTGGCAGCTTCATCCCCTTCAGCTCCTTAAACCCATCATTTTTAGCTTTTCCTAAGCCCATGCTGGTTGTGTTTCTTTGGCATAGCAGTTCAGTTCGCCTCACACACCCAGCTGTCCAATTTCCGCTGTTCCAATCTTCAGCTGACTTGGGGATAAATCCTTTCAAGCACTCACAAATTGGAGAACTTTTCTTGTTGCAAACGCTGAAAGGTCCACAGACTCCATATATGTCACATGGATTCTCTGGTGCCACCCAAGTGACATCCCAGTTACTTGTTTCTTTAATCCAGTTCAGTATCTTCAGAGATCCTACTGTCGTTAAGACTATAATTACCACATCACCATTATATGTGTCTAGTGTGAGATATGCACTTCCCTGCTGATTATCAGATTGAACGTTGAATCCATTCGCGTACCCACCATCACTATCTGGTGTACCCACGAACTTCCATTGATTCCATGGTCCACCTCTCCAGTAGGGCTTGGAACCATTCCAAACAAAAGCTTGTGGTGGTGTATCAAGGGAAAGCCCAGCCACGAAATTTCCAAGCGAAGGATTGTCGTTAGCTTGCCAACAAGAAAGTAAGCGTTTATCTCCTGTTTTCACGTTCCTTCCCAACATCATTCCTGGAAAGAAAGTGTCACTGGGATAATTGAAGCTTTCCCACAAGGTTAATCCAGAGATATTATCCTTCAAAATGAAGTCTCCCTTATCTGAAAGCATTGCAATCGAGCTATTTGACTTGACAGAAACATTGGTCGACCAGACTATGTTTCTATTACCATCCAACAATACCAAATTTCCATCTTCACCGATTGCTAGACTTACTCTAATGTCTGAAGCTAGAAGAGGATTCTCTCTGTTCAACACCCAGACAACTTTACGGATGGATATATTCCTGTACCACAGCCCAACATATTGCTTACTGGAATTACCAGGATTGAAGAAGCCCAGCTCAAAGATTTGACCAGATGAGATGAGAGTTTGCTTTGCTGTTAAGTGCTGTGACCGAGTTAAGGTATCGGTTCCAAAGCAATATCCTGATGGAATTGTCAATACAAAAAGGAGAAATGTATAAAAAAGAAAAGCACAAGGAATTCTGTATGGGTAATTCATCTGCCTTGGGTAGCAGGCTCTGCAGCCTTGTTAATGTGCTTATGATCAGTTCACCTTGACATTGTAAGGCCTTCTAATATTTCTTGTTCTGAGCCCCTACCCTCCAAGGTCAACAATTTCGCCTTCTTGTTTTATGATTAATATGTTGTAAATGAACTTATAATCAACTATATAGTTCAACGTTATAACTGTTGTTGTAATGTAGTTTGTTGAACTTCCTTTATTATATTCATATGTTCATTTAGTAAATTGAAATATTACTCAATAATTCAAAAGTCCCTTTCAGTAGAAGATTCAAAGAGAATGAAATGAGAATGGAATGAAATTGAAGGAAATTCCAAATGCCATTTGGAATGGCTACAAGAGTAGGAACACTAGGCAGCCAATCAACCTCAATCTTCCTCCAGCTGCTACAAGATGCGTAGCTCTTCTAATTTGATTGGGCATTTTAGGTGCTTTTTCAATCTTATTAGGTGGCTATTAAGCAAACTTCATCATCACATGCCCCTTTCTTTCGTTCTTATTTTTGAATTTTACAGCCACGAGCAACTTGATGACGGGTAACCATCCTATAATTAACAATGCTCCAAATCCATCTTTAATTATACTTTTCTATTTTTCTTTCCTGAAAATTAATTTCTATAGAGCCTTTTTTGTGGACGAGGATTTTCCCCTCTTTGTGGAACAAAGAATCAGTTGTTCAATTAGCTCCACATATGGAGCTATAGTGATATCTCCTCCAAAAACACAAAAAGGGAGGAGCTTTCATGGTGGGGTTTTAAGTGGTCCTCAAGCCTGAGGTGAGTAGTATCCCTTTGTGATGACTTTGCAGGCTTGGCCTTTGGCATATGGATGTAGTACTCGGAAAATGTCAATTCGGGCCGAAGTTACTTGGAGGACCACAATCGGCCATATAATCCAATTATCAATTTTGTCAGAGGCGAAAGGACCCGTGTAAGAAGAGGATACTCCAAATTGATATTTTCAGGACAAGACCCAGCATAGGATTGCAGCATGAGGTAGGCAGTATCAAGGATTTGCACAGAAGACTCCATCACAAAAGGATCACCCACCCTGAAGACTATCAGAATTGCATTAAACAGGCCTGGAAGGATGGTTTTGACTTGGTTTCCAAAATTGAGCACATAGCCTCAAGTCTTAGACAGTGGAATAAAGAAGTCTTTGGCAATATCCAGGAAAAGGAGAGAACTCTTTTAGTTAGAATTGCTGGTATCCAGAAGAAGTTAGAAGGCTCTTATAGAAGAAACTATTTTCTAGAAAATCTGGAATCTAAGCTACAATTCAAGCTTGCTCAAGTTTTGGAGGAGGAAGAGTTACATTGGTTTCAGAAATCTCGGGCTAGATGGATTAACGAAGGTAATAGAAACACTAAATATTACCATCTCAAGACCTTAGCTCGTAGGCGTAGAAACAAAATTTCAATGCTAAAAAATGAGGAAGGCAGATGGGTGGAAGATCAGTTTGAACTTCAGGATTTGGCAGTGAATTACTTTAAAAGGATTTATCTTGACGAAGGGTCTCATACTGTTATGGCCAATATTTTGCCTACCTACAGTCCGATTGACCAGGATGACAAAAGGTGGTTGTCTAGACCTATTTCTAGTATTGAGATAAAGGAGGCATTCTTTAGTATGGATCCTCTGAAAGCTCCAGGTCCCGATGGTTTTCTAGCAGGGTTTTATCAGCAGGCTTGGCCAATTATGAATAACCATGTCATTGACTATGTGAAACGTGGTTCTTGAAGGTAATAAGGATGTCGTGCAGGTTAACAATACTTTGTTGGTCCTCATTCCCAAGGTGGAAATCCTAGAAAGTATATCTCATTTTAGACCCATATCTCTTTGTAATGTCATCTACAAAAGGATCTCCAAGGTCATAGCCAATAGGATTAAGATGGTTTTGCCCAAGTTGATTTCCCCTTATCAGTCTAGCTTCATTCCAGGGAGACATATCCAGGATAATATCATTATTGCTAGAGAATTGCTCCACACCATGAGAAGGATGAGAGGAGGCAAAGGCTTTTTTGTTATTAAAGTGGACTTGGAAAAAGCTTATGACAGATTGAGTTGGAACTTCATCAACTTGGTCCTCGAAGAGATTGGGCTTCCCAGTTTTTTAACAAATGTGATTATGCGATGTATATCTTCAGTGTCCATGAATGTTCTTTGGAATGGGCATCTAACAGAGAACTTTTTCCAAGCAGAGGCTTAAGACAAGGCGACCCATTGTCTCCATACCTGTTTGTGTTAGGTATGGAAAAACTTTCTCAGATGATAGAGGTGAGGGTTAAGGACGGTTCTTGGACTCCTATCAGGGCTGGCAATGAGGGACCCCAGATTTCTCATCTTATGTTTACTGATGATTTACTTCTTTTTGGTCAGGCCACAGTTGACCAAATAAAGAGTATTTAGAACTGCTTGAAGGAGTTTTGCTCCCTTTTTGGACAATGGATAAACAAGAGTAAAACCTCCATTATTTTCTCCAAAAATGTCAGCAACGATATACATGCCAAAATTACCAGGGAATGTTGGTTCTCTGAGTCAGGTAATGTGGGCAACTATCTTGGGATTCCTTTGTTACAAGGAAGAAGAAACTGCAGAGCTTTCAAGTATGTTGTTGAAAAGGTTAAGACTAGACTGGCGGGATAGAAAGTCAATCAGCTCTCCGTGGTAGGTAGAGTTACCTTGACTAAATCTATTCTCAGTGCAATTCCCACATATACTATGATGGTGTGCAGGATTCTGAAGTCTGTTATTAGTGCTCTGGAGAGACTCCAAAGGGATTTTATTTGGGATCACGATGTGGGGGGGTTCGCAAATGCCATCTTGTTGATTGGAAGACGATATGTTGCCCAAAAGACAGAGGGGGGCTAGGGGTTAAGAATTTGCATATTATGAATGAAGCCTGCATCATGAAGAATAGTTGGCAACTCAAAGCTGGGGTTGATGCTACATGGGTAAATGTGCTCAAAGGGAAATATGGGAGGGGGGCGAACTAGTCTTCTTCAATAGTGGTTAAAACTCAAGATTCCAAGGGATGGAAGGACATAGTCCAAGGTTGGTTTAAACTAGCAGACTTTGCCTTTTGGAAAATAGGCAATGGTGAAAGCGTTGATTTTTGGAATGATTTTGGCTTGGGCCAGGTTTTAAGCTGGATATTTTTAGAAGAGATGGGAGTTCACCCATGCAAACATGTAAGGTCAAGGATATGGTTAGTGTTAATGGTGAATGGAATTGGAACAAGTTAGCAACTTTGTTGGACCCGCATGTTTTGCGTAAGCTTCAAGCTTTCCCTCCTCCTTTGGCTTCTGAGCACGATGTTCGGGTATGGCTTAGAGAAGTCTCTGGGTCCTTTAGTATCAGGAGTGCCTACAAACTCCTTCAGAAGGATTATACAGTTTATGATACCCGCGGTTGGAACAAGATTTGGAGTCTGAGAGTTCCTGAAAGAATAAGAATTTTTGCTTGGCTTGTCTTACACAATAAGCTTCTCATGAACCATAAAAGATCATTTTGGAGTGATTGTGACTCAGCCTGTAGTGAATGCGGAGAGGGTAGCGAAACAATCCTTCATGTCCTGCGTGATTGTTCGGTGGCTAGACAAGTTTGGAGAAGGTTAGTTCCCAATCAGTTCAAAGCATTATTTTTCACTTTATCTGGGAAAGCGTGGTGTCTGGCTAACTTATCTGGGAAGTGTAAGTGGCCCAAGAAATGGGCAATATCCTGTTGGTGGTTATGGAAATGGAGGAACAAGAGTATTTTTGAAGAGTCCTTTTCTAGACCTTCAGACCCTTGTAGGGTGATTGAGTAGTGGTGTATGTTATGCGAGCAGTCAAGGATCAATCAGACGCTTTGTATTTCTTCTTTGGACTGGGTTCGGGCTGTTTGGTCTCCCCCTTGCAGGGGGTGGATTAAACTCGATACTGACGGGACTTTTCTTCCTGGAAATCGCATGGCTGGATGTGGGGGCCTCCTCAGAGATCATGAAAGAACTTGGGTTAGAGGGTTTTCCAAGATGTTGGGTTGTACAGGGGTCTTGGAAGCTAAAGCTTGGGGAGTTCTCGAGGGCCTCAAGTTGGCCTGGCACCTAGGGTGCAGGAAGGTTATTTTAGAGATCGACTCCAGGATTTTGGTTGATACTCTTCTTGGTAAAGGTTCCACTCAGTCTATGTGGATACCAACTCTCCCTAGAATCATTTATCTCCTCCAGAGTGAATGGAGTGTTGATGTCAAGTACGTTGTCAGAGAAGCTAATATCGCAGCAGACATGGTGGCCAAATTAAGTTTGAGTCACCAGTTTGGGTTTAAGGATTGGGCCTACCCCCTTAATCAGCTGAGGGATCAACTCCTCTTTGAGTCGATGGAAGTCCGTACTTCCTGGGGATAGATTAGTGTTGTGTTTTTTCTCTTTGGGCAATTAGCCCCGGTTGTTTACCAAAAAAAAAAAGGAACACCCACCCTCAGAGGTCCATCTATTTGCTTATCTTTACTCTCATGAGGATAAAGTTTCAGTAATTTCACCCATTTGTTTGGTGACACCATGTTATAAATCCACTGTTTCCTTCAACAATATCTTTTGGAGGCGGATTTTTCTAATTCTAAGGAGCCTAATGACCTGCCTCATCTGGTAAATATATTAGTCTCATATTGATGATGTATGATTCAGAAGGGTTTTAGGAGATTTAGGTTCCACCGAGGACTTTATTAGATTTTGTTTAATTTGTTTTTTTATTTGATTTAGATTAGATTTATTTTGATTTTGTTTTCAGAAAAAATCTCGTACTTTAAGAAAATTAATTTCAAGAAATAATCATCTTTTTAGAGGTTTATGTCACTTAGAAAATCTTAAGGATTTCTTAGCTAGATAAAAATTCGCAAACAATTCAAAAATTAAATTTTTTGGAGAGAAATTTTAAAAAATTTAGCGTAAAGAAAGAAAGAAGATGAAGAACTTTGACCCCAGTTTACCTAAAAAGAATAGAGATTTGAGATTGAGGAATTTCGCCTCACCAGTTATTCCAATTAATTTAATACCACCATTG